GTGAGGGCGAGTTCCGAGGAAGCCAGAGTCCAGACCCGCACCTTGGCTGGGTCGGGTTAGGTAGCCTCCCCTAGGGGGATTGTAGCCGGAGGACCCCAGAGTGTAGCCAGAGCAGTGTACCTAGGCTGTGTACCTAGGATGTGTACCTAGGCTGTGTCGCTAGGCTGTGTACCTAGGCTGTGTACCTAGGCTGTAACAGAGTATCAGGAGTGTTGGAGTGTTGTATTGTAATAAAGAAGTTACCTCTACAAGTGTCTCCGGAACCCATTACACATTCACCAGCGGATATTCACCGACAGATACATTCACCAGCAGATCTACCTACCAGGTGATGGCCGCAGGGGCAGGGAATCCTTGTACCAGGTGATGAGGGGCTCTGGGTAAGCGTTGCGCACAAAACATTCACCGATCTGCAAGAGAGGGAAACAGACCAACACATGCAACAAAGATCCCCCGTGTAGCCTTAACAGACTGTAGGGGCAAGTGCTGTTAGCGAGCAACTATGAAGGCCAGAACGGCACACGAGAAGGTGGGTGGCCAGCACCACGCCCGGCCGCCTTTGTCTCCCCAGTGGCGATGTTTTTACGCACTGCACCAGGTATTTATTTGAGGCTGAGTCGACCTAGGGGAGGCACAGAACCTCTTAGCGCGTCGCGCCACGAACCTGGCGACCCAAGTTCGATTCCCACTCACGGCCAACATCAGTGACGATTATCTGAACCGGTTCTGAGCCTCCCCTAGGTCGACTCAGCCTCAAAGGAATACCTGGTGCAGTGTGCACACATCGCCACTAGGGAGACAAATGCAGCCGGGTGTGGTACACTACTACACTACTATACAATACACTACTATACAGTACACTACTGTACACTACTATACACTACTATACTATTCACCACTCTACTATACACTACTATACTACACACTACACTATACACTAATATACACTACTATACTATACACTACTATACTATACCATAATATACTATACACTACTCTACTATACACTACTATACTCTACACTACTATACTATACACTACTATACCATACACTACTATACACTACACTACTATACACTACTATACTATACACTACACCACTATACACTACTATACACTACACTACTATACACTACTATACAGTACTATACACTACACTACTATACACTACACTATACACTACACTACTATACATTACACACTACCACACTACACTACTATACACTACACTACTATACACTACACTACTATACACTACACTATACACTACACTATACACTACACTACTATACACTACACTATATACTACACTACTATACACTACACTACTATACACTACACTATATACTACACTACTATACACTACACTACTATACACTACACTACAATACACTACACTACTATACACTACACTACTATACACTACACTACTATACACTACACTACTATACACTACACTACTATACACTACACACTACACTACTATACACTACCACACTACACTATACACTACACACTACACTATACACTACACTATACACTACACTATACAATACACTACACTATACACTACACTATACACTAAACTATACACTACACTATACACTACACTAGACACTACACTATATACTACACTACTATACACTACACTATACACTACACTACTATACACTACACTACTATACACTATACATTACACACTACCACACTACACTATACTACTGTAATGCGGGCGTAAACGGCCTCGCGGATATGATGTAACTGGGGGTGGAGTTAGGTCACGTGGGGGGAGAAGAGAAAGCTCTTAAGGGCGGTAACCGGAAGAGACGAGGGGAGAGTGTGAGAATAAAGACGGGAGGAGGCCACGCAGGTGGAGAGTGGCACGATCGCCACACGACGGACTCGGCACCATTGGCCAGCGGTGTCCGGGCACGGGGGAACCAGAGAGCAGCGGTGGGGCTGCAGAGAGAGCAGCTGAGAGACTGCACCAGAGGCGGAGAGGCTGAGAGGAGAGCCAGCAGCGCAGCTGTATCGGGAGCGAGGAGAAAAGGCTACGTGAGCGACGGCAGCTGCCAAGCTGGAGACGGAGAAGGCTCTGAGCGAGGGCCGTGTGGGGCAAAGTTGTAAAGAACCCAAATAAAGGACAACGGAGACAGACAGTGAAAGAGTCCTTTATTACACTGGTGTCAGAAGTTAAACGGCATGTCAAAACAGCTCAGAAGAAGAATATTCCTGCACCATCGTCTGCTACATCATCCGACGACGACGACCTTCCTCAGGCAGTGGACCTGCCTACGATGGAGGAGGAGATCCGAGCGGGAACGAGTACGGGTCCGGGAGGTTAAGATGTCGCCGCGTCGGTGGACCCGTCCGCGCCGGAGGACGCTGACTTACGATGGAGGCAGATGGCGGAGCAGCTGGAGACCTTGAAAACCGTACTGGTGCAACTGTGCGACCTCGTCACGCCGGCGACGGCGTCGGGGAGGCCCGGGGGTGATCGGCAGGCCGCGGTCTTGCCTGCGCTGCCAGCGCCATCTGCCACGCGGCACGAAGACGCCATCTTGGGCGTGGCAAGAGAAGAACGGCGGGAAGCCGCCATCTTGCGCCCTCCGCGGTGGGGGGCCGCCATCTTGGACACGTTGCGGTGCGACGCCATCTTGAATATGCCACACGACGAGTCACCTGCAGAAGACGGCGCAGCAAGGAGTCGCAGCCGTCACTTGACAACTGTAAAAGAATTCTCCATCGGTGGCGACTGGAGTGCTTTCGCCTGCAGATTTTTGGCGGCGGTGCGCTCCGCCAGGTGGACTGACGCAGAGGCCCTGGAAGTTCTGACAACTCTTCTCGACGACGAGTCGGTGCGATTCTTCCGTTCTATAAAGGCCGAAAAAAAGAAGACCTTGAGAGGAGTTTTTGATGAGATGGCGGATGCGTACGAGCCGCCGGATGATGCTCACCGCCGGTTCGTTCAACGCCAGCGGGCACCCGAAGAATCGCCGGTGGCATACAGGGGTGCTGTCTTGGAGTTAGCCATGGCCGCATACCCGGAGACGGAGCCTGACCTACTCGAACCCCTAATTTTGGGCAAGATGCTCGAGCTGTCCAGGGATTTGGGGATCCCTATGCCGGTGTGTGGCCATGAAAAGCTGACATCCCGGGCGGCCGCGAAGTGTCTTGATGCCCAATTTAATCTACGCCGCTGGAAGCAAGTCACGGCGTGGACGGGGGGGCCCATCCTCAAGCGAGGTGCCTTGGCATGGGATCCCAAGAAGGCGGTGTACGTTCCTGACGGGGGGGGGCCCGCAGGAGCTGACAGCCGCCTCTGCGTAGTGGTCGGCCCGCGGTGGACCGGGGTCGCGATCTGCGCCGCCGACGCGGGAGCGTCGGGATGGGGGGCCTGCGGTGCGGCGCAACGACATCGAGTGCTTCCGCTGCGGTCGTAAGGGCCATTACGCCAGGGACTGCTGGGCCCGTATCCCAGGACCGCCCCAGCAGGATGCCTCGACAGCGGACGTGCCGAGAAAGGACCCTCCTGGAAAGGCAAGTCGGTGCGCACCAGACACCCGGCAAGGCTTGACACCTCATTCATCACCATTGCCACGCGATCCGGGTGTTGTTAATAACGGGAGGCCATCGACTGGGCCATGTCGCTCAGTAACGCAGTGGCGTAAATTGGCACGGCGGGTTTTCGCGGCCGCTACTGGTTCGTCCACTGTCCCGGGTTCTATACAGGGGGTTGACGTGCGCATTTTAGTGGACTCCGGTGCGTCCACGACCATTATATCGGATGTCATTTTTCATCTGTTGGGCATCCCACCAGAGGCCGTGCGTCCGGTTTACGATTCCTGCGTTGCGGCAAACGGGGGTAGCATAGGCATTGTGGGCCAGGTGGACGCTAATATATCTATCGGGGGAGTGTTGCCCTCGGGAATTGTATTGATCTCGAGGTCCCTTGCGGTTCCATGTTTGTTGGGAACTGATTTTCTGGCCAAAATGCCCATTCTAATTAGAGTTAATCAAAACTGTATCGCATTACCGGGGGGTCGAAAAATTACTTTTCTGCCGTCGCCCTGGGGGCGACCTGCCCCGGTCTGCCAGGTGCAGGCGTTGTCCGAGGTATCTGTTGATATTCCACCTGGCTCGCAGATGCTTATCCCCTTGCGATATCGGAAACCTGTACCTGGTCGGGAGGGAGCAACTGGGGTTTTGTTATCGCCGTCCGCTACCATAACGGGCGGATCGGTGCTCGTCGGGGCGCAGACTATTATCCGGCCGGACCAGCAGCCATTTTTGCAGGTGCTTAATGGGAGTACGGAAAATGTGTGTGTGCCGGCTGGAACGGTTGTGGCACATGCCACTACGGCGTTTACAGCCCAGGATTATCTGGGCCGCCGGGAGATGGTTGCCAGGGTTTCGGGCCCTGCGGCCCCAGATAATCGCTGGATCGCCGAACTGTGCGGGGAAAATTCTTCCCTTTCCGGGAAACAGCGTTCCGCGCTTCGCGCGCTATTGTTGAGTTCTTCCGATGTGTTTAGCTCCGACGATCTGGACTTGGGACGCACCTCCCTGCTTTCCCATCATATTGACACAGGGGACGCTGCTCCTATTCGGTTGAACTCGCATCGGATGAGTCCGGCGGAGCGAGATCATGTGCGAGGGGCAGTGGATGACATGTTGGCTGCGGACATAATATCTCCATCTATCAGCCCATGGGGCGCGCCTGTTGTCTTGGTTAAAAAGAAAGACGGGAAATTGCGATTTTGCGTGGATTTTCGGAAATTAAATAAAGTGTCCGTGGCAGATGCGTACCCCCTGCCGCATATGGACGATTCCCTCGATGCCTTGTCGGGGGCTAAATTCTTTTCGACGCTGGATCTCTCTTCGAGATTCTGGCAGCTTCCCTCGATGAGTCCTCGCGGGAAAAGACTGCTTTCCGTACGCCGCAGGGGTTATTTTAATTTAATTGTCTTCCGATGGGGTTGAATGCTGCCCCCGCCACATTTCAGAGGTTGATGGAACTGGTATTAACGGGGTTGCAGTGGGAGACATGTCTGATATATTTAGACGATATTATCGTCTTCAGCCGCACATTTGACGAACATTTACTGAGGTTGGAGGCGGTGTTCGCCAGGATGCGCTCCGCCAATCTGAAATTTAAACCTAAGAAATGTCACCTACTGCAACGGTCCGTGCGCTATTTGGGACATATAGTTAGTGCAGACGGGGTTGTCACGGATCCGGACAAGACGGCGTGCGTCCGTGACTGGCCAACCCCGGCCACGGTGGGGGATGTGCGTCGTTTTTTGGGGTTTGCCTCATATTATCGTAGGTTTGTTCCCAACTTTGCAACGATCGCGAGGCCTCTGCACCTCCTTACGGGTAAAGGACGGAAATTTGATTGGGGACCACCGGAGGAGGCGGCGTTTCAAGGCCTGCGCGATCGGTTGGCTACGGCGCCGACGTTGGACTATCCAGATTTTGATCACCCCTTCATTCTGGATACGGACGCGAGTGACACGGGCATTGGGGCCGTGTTGCCACAGTCCAAAGGTGGTGTGGAGCGCGTGGTGGCGTACGGTAGCTGGGTTTTGTCCCCCGCCGAAACCCGCTACTGCGTCACTCGCCGGGAACTTTTGGCTATTGTCTATTTTCTCCGCCAATTTCGACCGTATCTCTACGGCCGTTCATTTATTGTGCGCACGGATCATGCGGCTTTGCAGTATGCCCTGAAGGTGGACCAGCCATCCGGCCAGTTGGCGCGATGGTTGGACACGCTGCAGGAGTTTTCCTTCCAAATTCAACATCGGAAGGGGGTGCGTCACGCCAATGCGGACGCGTTCTCTAGGTTGCCGCAGCGATCCCCTTGCGCGTGCGCGTCGGGGACGCATAGGTGTACGCCGATCCAACAGCCCCCTCGGCCTGTTGCGTTGGCGGTCGAGGTGCCTGAGGCTCCAGAGTGGCCCGGACCGGCCGATGGCATTTTTAACCTTCCAAGGGCTGTATGGATTCGTGAACAAATGCTGGATGACTCATTGGGGACCCTGCGGAGTCGAGCTGCGAAGGAGAGTGGGGGACTGGGTTCCGGCGGTACGCCGGGAACCGCTCTCCGCGACGGACTGCTGATGTGGAGGGAAGGGTTACAGGAACGCTGGCGTCTTGTTGTACCGGCATCCTTGCGGTACGAATTGATTAGGACTCTGCATTGCGACACGCTACTACATCTGGGGGTGCAGAAGACCCTATTGACGTTGCAGCGAGATTACTTTTGGCACGGCATGACGACGGATGTCGTCGGGCACGTTCGCGCGTGTCCCGAGTGTGCCCGGCAGAAGCCGCCTAAACACCCATATATACCACCAATACAGTCTATTCAGGTGTCTCGAGTTAATGAGCTGGTGGCGTTAGATATTTTGGGACCCTTCCCGCCATCCGCTAAGGGGAATAAATACTTGCTAGTTGGGGTGGAGTACCTCTCCCGCTGGCCGATGGCCTGGCCCTTGCCCGACCAGTCGGCGGCGTCTATTACGGACGCCTTTCTATTCGGGTACGTTATGGACAAGTGGGCGCCGGAGAGGCTCCTCACGGATCAGGGCCGAAATTTTTCTTCGAAATTGTTGGGGGAGGTGTGCGCGGCTCAGGGAACTAAAAAGATCCGGACATCCCCCTCCCACCCGCAAACGGATGGCATGGTTGAACGGCTGAATCGGACTCTGTCCGCCATGCTGTGTCACACGGTGAATGAAAAACAAGCGGATTGGGATTTGCATATCCCTGGGGTACTCTCGGCGTACCGGATGACGCCGCATGCGTCTACGGGATATTCGCCGTTTTTTCTTATGTACGGTCGCGAAAATGTGCCGCCGATGGATGTGCAGTTGGGGACAGGAGTGAGGGGACCTACTAAACCTCTTCCTGATTACATTCAGGACACCGTTCGCCGCGTCACTGAGGCGCGGGAAGGGGCCCGCATGGCAATGGCCAAAGCCTAGGCCCGGAACGAACGGTGCGCTCGACGCTCAAAGGGGAAGTGCCCCTGGAACGTGGGGGATATGGCCTGGCTGCATTGCCCGCAGGTGCGGCCAGGGACCTCCCCTAAATTACATAAACCATGGCAGGGGCCTGTTCGGCTTATCGAGGTTCCCAACCCGCAGTCTGCACGCGTTCGGTTCAGATCTCGGCGCTGGTACGTCCATACGTCTCGCTTGAAACCATATGTGGCCCCTCGAACAGATGCGTCATCTCCTGATGTTGCCTTGCCTGTTGCTGCCGACGCACCCTTGGCGGTGCCTGTTGACCCTGCAAGAGCGCCTGTCGTGCCTTTTACAGACAAACCAGCCGTGACACCGCAGGAGACAGGGGACTCTGTTCGGGGTGGGCCTACCACGGCTGCGGGGACACCGAGCCCCGCCGCCCTTCCGACCCCGCCACAGACACGATTGCGGGACACCCCAGACTCTGGTCCTTCTGGGAAACGGGACCGTGGCGTTGGCGGGCCTCCAATAGCGCCAGGCAGTTTTGAACCTGTCGCTCCTAAAACCCCGTCGCGTTCTCGGTCTGCAGGGGGGCCGCCACCCGTCCGGGACGGGCCGGCGACCCGCACGCGGTCGAAGTCCCTTACTTTTCGTTGATTGATACTGTTCTTGTTCTTGTTGTTATTGTTATATTTATTGTATGCTTCGTTGTCCTTGCATGTCTGATGGTTGGTGGTCGCCCGCATTACTTGTGGTTGCTTAGCCGAGGACGGCTGAAATTTTCTCCACGGGGGAGGGTGGTGTAATGCGGGCGTAAACGGCCTCGCGGATATGACGTAACTGGGGGAGGGGTTAGGTCACGTGGGGGGAGAAGAGAAAGCTCTTAAGGGCGGTAACCGGAAGAGACGAGGGGAGAGTGTAAGAATAAAGACAGGAGGAGGCCACGCAGGGCAGAGGGTGGAGAGTGGCACGATCGCCACAAGACGGGAGGAGGCACCGTTGGCCAGCGGTGTCCGGGCACGGGGGAACCAGAGAGCAGCGGTGGGGCTGCAGAGAGAGCAGCTGAGAGACTGCACCAGAGGCGGAGAGGCTGAGAGGAGAGCCAGCAGCGGAGCTGCATCGGGAGTGAGGAGAAGGCTACGTGAGCGACGGCAGCTGCCAAGCTGCCGAGCGGGAGACGGAGAAGGCTCTGAGCGAGGGCCGTGTGGGGCAAAGTTGTAAAGAACCCAAATAAAGGACAACGGAGACAGACACAGTGAAAGAGTCCTTTATTACACTACTATACACTACTATACACTATACACTACACTATACACTACTATACACTACTATACACTATACACTACACTATACACTACACTATATACGAACCCACGACCTCCTGTGCACCAGGCGAGGTAGTCAACATCTCCCAACTAAAACTAAACCACGTTAGAATCACGAATCGGTGGCGTCTACAGCACTGCAGCCGGGGGGGGGGGGGGGGGGGTGCGTGCGTCTCCGCAACGCCGTTAAGGTAACAAAGCCACCCCAAGAGACGGAGCAGCGGGAGACGGAGCGACGACAAGGCAGAGTGAGAAATGAAAGAAAGTCCCCGCAGGCCGCGGGCTGCTCACCTTGTGCTGCTGCTGGTTGAGCAGCTTGGGCCACTGGCTCGCAGCCACGGCCACCGTGGGGGCCGCTGGGAGGGACACGGGGGGAGGGGGGAGGGGCCGCTCTGTGCGTCAAACGTCGCTGGGACGTCATCGGCCGTTTGCTTGCGAGTCCAACTTGACTCCGAAACGTCGTGTGTAGTGTAGTGTATAGTGTAGTAGTGTATAGTAGTATAGTAGTGTAGTGTATAGTGTAGTGTATAGTAGTGTATAGTAGTATAGTGTATAGTGTAGTGTGGTAGTGTGTAATGTATAGTGTGTAGTCGTGTGTAGTGTATAGTAGTGGTGCTTTACACGCCGTACAACACGTTAGAATCGACAGGAGTAAAGTTTGACTCGCGTGCAAAATCGACTAGCGAGCGTAGACCCCGTAGATCACGACTCGTTCGTCAGTAGAGAATTCGTAAGCGGGTAAGCCCATGTGGTAATGTCCGTAAGTAGGGGAGTCTCTTTTGCGACATCCTTAAGTAGGGGAGTCTCTGTCGTAATGTCCGTAAGTAGGGGAGTTTCTGTAGCAATGTCCGTAAGTAGGGGAGTCTCTTTAGCGACGCCCGTAAGTAGGGGAGTCTCTGTCATAATGTCCGTAAGTTGGGTCTCTGTAGCGACGTCCGTAAGTAGGGGAGTCTCTTTAGCGACGTCCGTAAGTAGGGGAGTCCACGTCGCAACGTCCGTAAGTAGGGGAGTCTCTGCTGTAACGTCCATAAGTAGGGGAGTAGAAAGTGGCCCCGTGCACTCGCTTACAAAAGACCCGCACGCTTGCGGTGGCTTCGGCCACGCCGGCGCGCCCCGCCAGCGCCTGGCAGACGAAGTGGCGCTCGTCAGCGGTCTCCGTCGCGCTCAGCGCCAGCGCGGAGTCGCTGCGCCGAGCGTCGATGCGGCTCTCGTAGCCGGTGCCCACGTCCGCCACGAAGAGTCGCGCGTCGCGGTACGAGATCCTCGTTCGCGAAGATCGTGAAATCTGTGCCGGGGGGGGGGGGGGTTGGAGTCTATGGGCAGTGCTGAGTCTATGTAGCAGTGTTGAGTCTATGGGCAGTGTTGAGTCTATGGTGCAGTGTTGAGTCTATGTAGCAGTGCTGAGTCTATGGTGCAGTGTTGAGTCTATGTAGCAGTGTTGAGTCTATGGTGCAGTGCTGAGTCTATGGGTGACAGTGTGAGTCTCTGGGCAGGGCATACGACGTACGTGGCCGAGCGGTGTGCGTGTGGGTGGGGTGGGGTGGGGGTGGCGCTACTCACGATGAACCACTGGGTGACCACCTCATCGCCCACGGAGCTGGTGACCGTGCAGGGGATCACCAGCGGGCTTCCCAGCTCCACCTCCACCAGCGGGGTCACCGCCACGGAGATCGCCGCTTCGACGCCTGCGGCGATGACGGTCATCGCACGCAAGTCACGCTGCAGACTGTGTATAGTGGTGTAGTGTATAGTGTAGTGTATAGTGTAGTGTATAGTAGTGTAGTGTATAGTAGTGTAGTGTATAGTAGTGTAGTGTATAGTAGTGTAGTGTATGTAGTGTATAGTGTAGTTTATAGTACTGTAGTGTAGTGTATAATGTATTGTGCAGCAGTATATATTAGTGCAGAGTATATTACTGTAGTGTATCGTAGTGTATAGTAGTGTAGTGTATAGTGTAGTGTACAGTGTAGTATATAGTGTAGTGTATAGTGTAGTGTATAGTGCAGTGTATAGTGTAGTGTATAGTAGTGTATAGTGTAGTGTATAGTAGTGTAGTGTATAGTGTAGTGTATTAGTGAAGTGTATAGTGTAGTGTAAAGTAGTGTATAGTGTAGTGTATAGTGTAGTGTGTAGTGTAGTGTAAAGTAGTGTATAGTGTAGTGTATAGTGTAGTGTATCAGTCATCATCACCCTGTACAAGAACAAAGGGGAGAAATCAGACTGTTCCAATTATCGTGGCATAACACTTCTGTCCGTCGCCAGCAAAATCCTCGCAAGAGTACTGCTGAATAGACTGGTACCCGCAATAGCTGAAGATCACCTCCCAGAGACCTAGTGTGGCTTTAGAGCCAACCGGGGAACCACAGACATGGTGTTTGTCCTGAGGCAGATTCAGGAAAAGTGCCGGGAGCAAAACAAAGCACTGTACGTCACCTTTGTGGACCTGACAAAAGCATTTGACACCGTGAGCAGGCAGGGACTTTGGAAAATCCTGGACAAGCTAGGCTGCCCACCGAAGTTCCTCACCATGATCGTCCAGCTTCATGAAGACCAGCTTGGACAAGTCAGACATAGCAACAATCTCTCGCAGCCCTTCACTATTGCAAACGGCGTGAAACAGGGCTGTGTTCTTGCTCCCACGCTGTTCACCATTTTGTTCAGCATGATGCTCCAGCAGGTCACAGAGGACCTCGACGACGCTGATGGCGTATACATCCGTTTTCGTCTCGACGGGAGCGTGTTCAACCTGAGGCGTTTGCAGGCCCACACAAAGACCATGGAGCAACTGATCAGGGAGCTGCTTTTTGCTGACGATGCCGCCCTCCTTGCTCATACAGAGGCAGCTATGCAGCGAATTACGTCCTGTTTCGCGAAAACAGCTCAGATCTTCGGCCTTGAAGTCAGCCTGAGGAAGACTGAAGTTCTTCATCAGTCCGCACCCCATGAGGAGCACCATCCACCAAGCATCTTCATTGAACAAACAGAACTGAAAGCTGTCCACCAGTTCAGCTACTTGGGGTGCGTCATCTCGTCTGACGCCAAGATCGACAACGAAGTCGACAACAGGCTGGCCAAAGCAAACAGTGCATTTGGCAGACTATACAAACGTGTCTGGAACAACAGAAACCTTAAAAGAGCCACAAAGGTCAACGTCTACAAAGCTGTTGTGCTGACAACTCTCCTGTATGGCGCTGAGTCCTGGGTCACGTACCGTCGTCACCTGAGTCTCCTCGAGCGTTTCCATCAGCGCTGCCTCCGCACAATCTTCAATATTCACTGGAGTGACTTCGTCGCCAACACTGAAGTCCTCAAGTCAGCGAAGGTCATCAGCATCGAGGCCATGGTCCTCAAGACACAGCTTCGTTGGGCAGGGCACATCGCCAGGATGGAGAACCACCGCTTGCCTAAGATTGTGCTGTATGGGGAACTGTCCTCTGGCCATCGCGACATAGGGGCACCACGAAAGCGATACAAAGACTCCCTGAAGAAGTCCCTCACTGCTTGCTGCATCGATCACCGTCAGTGGGCAACACAAGCAGCTGATCGCAACTCCTGGCGGCACACAGTCCACCAGGCCACCTCCTTCTTCGAAGATACCCACAGGGCCCGTATGGAGGACAAAAGGAGAAGGAGGAAGAACCATGATCCCTCAGCACCCATCCCAGATGAGACCTATACTTGCAGCTGTTGTGGCAGGACCTGCTTGTCCCGCATAGGCCTCTTCAGCCACCAGCGTGCCTGCAGAAGACGTGGATGTCCTTCCTAGATCTTCGTTCGCGAAGCCAAGCCATGATGATGATGAGTGTAAAGTAGTGTATAGTGTAGTGTATAGTGTAGTGTAGTAGTGAAGTGTATAGTAGTGTGTAGTGTATAGTGTAGTGTATAGTAGTGTAGTGTATAGTGTAATGTATAGTAGTGCAGTGTATAGTAGTGCAGTGTATAGTAGTGTAGTGTATAGTGTATAATAGTGTAGTGTATAGTGTAGTGTATAGTGTAGTGTAAAGTAGTGTAGTGTATAGTAGTGTAGTGTATAGTGTAGTGTATAGTAGTGTAGTGTATAGTGTAGTGTATAGTGTAGTGTATTAGTGAAGTGTAAAGTAGTGTATAGTGTAGTATATAGTGTAGTGTAAAGTAGTGTATAGTGTAGTGTAGTAGTGAAGTGTATAGTAGTGTGTAGTGTATAGTGTAGTGTATAGTGTATAGTGTAGTGTATAGTGTAATGTATAGTAGTGCAGTGTATAGTAGTGTATAGTGTAGTGTATAGTGTATTATAGTGTAGTGTATAGTGTAGTGTATAGTGTAGTGTAGTGTGAGGTGGGCACGAATCTTCCGCGTCTACAGACGACGATTGACACGGTGAAGCCGAACCACGATCGGATGAGGGGGGGGGGGGATGCTGCTGGATGCTGCCGATGTTCACGGCGGCGGTGATCATCACCTTGGAAGGAGACGGAGACGAGCAACAGCAACGCGACACATCGCAGCGACATGTGGCCGGCAAGTTCTCGCTGCAGCTGCTGCCGCTGCTGCAGCTGCTGCTGCTTGCTGCTGCTGCTGCCGCTGCTGTAGCTGCTGCTGCTGCTGCTGGTACTGCTGCCGCTGCTGCAGCTGCTGTTGCTGCTACTGCTGCTGCTTGTGGAGCCGTGAATCCACCGTGCCCTTCTCCTCCCGTCGTCAATCCTGTGTCGTGTGAAACACAACGCGGCAGTCCGCACCGTCACAACACATTCCTGCTGCTGCGGAGGGAGCTGGTAGTGACGCTGGGTTGCTCGCTCAATGGCCTGCAGGGTCAACGGTCAGGGCAATGTGGTGTATTCCGCAAATATGCCCGACTGTGAGGGCGGGCACAAGCCGGCGTGAGTAGGTGAAACGTTGAGTTTTATAAGGGCACCACGGGGTGACCAGCCCCTCCCCACCCAGCCCCTCCCCTCCCTTCCCACCCAGCCCCTCCCTGCACCTGTGGGCTGATGTAACCTATCAGTATTTTTAGTATTAAACACAACGCATTCCACACTATTACACTAGTGGTATTAAACACAGTGCATTCCACACTATTACACTAGTGGTATTAAACACAGTGTATTTCACACTATTAGACTATTTATATTAGTAAACACGACGCAAATGACCCCTATGGAGGCAGCCTGGCCTAGCAACTAACACTAGTTGTCCCAGACATTTAAAAGTGTTTTTGATCACCACCACCAGCACCACCACCAGCAGCAGCAGCACCACCACCACCACCAGCACCAGCACCACCACCAGCACCACCACCACCAGCACCACCACCAGCAGCACCACCACCAGCACCAGCACCACCACCAGCACCACCACCACCAGCACCACCACCAGCACCACCAGCACCACCACCACCAGCAGCACCACCACCAGCACCACCACCAGCAGCACCACCACCACCAGCACCAGCACCACCACCAGCACCACCACCACCAGCACCACCACCAGCACCACCACCAGCACCACCACCACCAGCAGCACCACCACCACCAGCAGCACCACCAGCACCACCACCAGCACCACCACCACCAGCACCACCAGCACCACCAGCACCACCACCAGCACCACCAGCACCACCATCACCACCACCAGCACCACCACCAGCAGCACCACCACCAGCACCACCACCACCAGCAGCACCACCAGCACCACCAGCACCAGCACCACCACCACCAGCACCACCAGCACCACCAGCAGCACCACCACCAGCACCACCACCACCAGCAGCACCACCAGCACCACCACCACCAGCACCACCACCAGCAGCACCACCAGCACCACCAGCAGCACCACCACCAGCACCACCACCACCAGCACCACCACCAGCAGCACCACCACCAGCACCACCACCACCAGCAGCACCACCAGCACCACCATCACCACCACCAGCACCACCACCAGCAGCACCACCACCAGCACCACCACCACCAGCAGCACCACCAGCACCACCAGCACCAGCACCACCACCACCAGCACCACCAGCACCACCAGCAGCACCACCACCAGCACCACCACCACCAGCACCACCACCAGCAGCACCACCACCAGCACCACCATCACCAGCAGCACCACCAGCACCACCACCACCAGCACCACCAGCACCACCAGCACCACCACCAGCACCACCATCACCACCACCAGCACCACCACCAGCAGCACCACCACCAGCACCACCACCACCAGCACCACCACCAGCACCACCACCACCAGCACCACCAGCACCAGCACCACCAGCACCACCATCACCACCACCAGCAGCACCACCACCAGCAGCACCACCAGCACCAGCACCACCACCAGCACCACCACCACCAGCACCACCACCAGCAGCACCACCACCACCAGCACCACCAGCATCACCACCAGCACCACCAGCACCACCACCACCAGCAGCACCAGCACCACCACCACCAGCAGCACCACCACCAGCACCACCACCACCAGCAGCACCACCAGCACCACCACCAGCACCACCACCACCAGCAGCACCACCACCAGCACCACCACCAGCACCACCACCAGCAGCAGCAGGCACAGCTGTAGAGAACACCACAGCAGCCTACCTGGCTGGCGACGATCTTACACAGATCAATAACAAGTGGTGAAAGATCGATAAATCGAAAGATCGATAAGTTTGAGAGAGAAACCACGCCTACCCACGTGTTCGTCTATCTTGTTCGATTCCC